ATGATTGCGGGTTAAAAAAAAAAAAAAAAAAAAAAAAAAATTATCTAAGATATTATTTAAAATAGTTTTTTATTATCTAAATTATTAATTTAAAATATTTTTTGAATTTCATATTTATTAAAGTAAAAATATAAGTAATTTGTAAAATTTTATTTACTAAATAATTTAGGAATTAATAATTATATTTATATTTTAAAGCTATAACTTTAATCAATTCACGTATTTTAATTTAATTAACTTTAAATACTATTTCAGAAGTAATTTATTACTCTATTAGAAGTTCAAGTAAAAAGATTTTAATTTTAATATTATCATTTATAAATTATTACTTTAGATTACTCTATAAGTTTCAATAGTATTTAAAATTTAATCATTTTACCTTTTATTTTATTTTTTTTTTATTAAGTTTTTTTTTAAAGTTCTTGTTTTTTTAATATTTTTTTAATATTATTTCTTTAATTATCAATATATCGATTTTTTAAATTAATAAAATTGATAATTTTTTTATCTTATTTTTTGTATCCATTTATACTCAATGATTTTTTCTTATTTTAGATTTTAATTTTTTTCAGTATATTTTTTATATTTTTATGATTTATTTTTTAGTTTTTTTTTTTTAATTTGTTTTCTATAATATCTCAAATCTAATATTTTTTCTATTAAAATTTTTCTTATTGATTCTATACAAAAGATAAAAAAAAATATTTTATATTTACAGTATTTATAACTATAAAAAATATAAAGTTTATTAAAAAAAACATTAAACAAATATTTATGATTAATATATTTATTTTGATAATTTTTATTATCTCAATTTATTATATGGTAAATTTATTGTATATAATATTTACTAATAGATAAGTTATTATTTAAAATTTTTAAAATTCTTTAGATTTATAAATTTAAATTATAAAAAGTTTCCAAAAATTTTCAATTATAATATTAATCTTTTTTAAAAAATTTTCATTGTTTATTTTATTATAGAAATTTTATAATAATTGTTTTATTTGTTTTGTCTATTAGTCAATAGTAATATTTTATGAATTCTTTTAACTTTTTTATCTAAATGATAGTATTATTATTACTGTAATTAAATAATTTATTTAAATATGCTTGAATTATCAATTGATAATAATATTTTTTACTATAAATTATTTTAGAATTTAGTAAAACAATTTAAAGGATTTAAAACAATCACTTTTTTACTATTAATTAAAATAAAAATAAAAATTATTGCAATTATAAAAAAAAAATAGAAAATGTAAAAAATTTTGACCCACATGACGCTTACTCGAAATATGCAAGGTTTTAAGTGGTGAACTTTTATGAAAAATTTTATAGGAAGTCATATATCTTTAGCTTGTTTCAGTTTTCTTCTTCGATGAACCCATTATTCACCCAATGCCTCCATGTCACCTTATTGCTGGTTTTAGGTCGAACTTAACTCGGATTTGCTTCATGATGCTGATCGGTTCCGAACGCGACTTTTGATGATGCCCGCTATTTGAGCTTTTGTTAAATCTCAACTGTTTTCTAAAATCACGCACGGTATTTGTAGGTTGTTCCGACAACTTATTTGAAATTGTATCATTATATATAGTTTACGATGTGATTATTTATCATTCGATTCGTTTTTATAGTAATATGAATGCAATTTGCACAACCTCGGCAGATAAAATATTGATCAATTACACCAAACATCAACTCTTGCAATAAAAGTCTTATTATTAATCGCATACCTAGTAAATATTAAGGCATTCGAAAATTAAATTCAATAACGCCTACTGCCTTTTATTATTTGTCATTTCCTCATGTAAACCGAAATGAAAATCCATTTAAACCAGTATTTTAATTTTAGCACTTCATTACCAAATGATAATAATAATAAATTTTATAACAACGACTCTAACTGTCACAATTTACCAAAACCAACCTTTAGGTGGTGCATGCCTAACAACTTGATTATTCTTTTTACTCCATATTAACTCTCTGGTTCTTTGTTCTTTGTCAACCTCTTCGACTCTCTCATTAACATTATCCAATAATTCATCAAATCCCTCTTCATTAACAGTTTCCTCAAAAATATTTTGCAAAATTTTCGAATCAGCTTTCACATTCTGTTGATCATCGATCATTATAATGTTATCATGATCCATCATTTCTATCCACTTGGGGTTTCCAGTAATGATTCTACAATCTTTTAGTGGTAATGACTTTTCCTGAGATTTTACCAGTGCCTTGATCAATTTCCAAGCACATAATGCATATTTCTGATCATCAAATGCCGACTCCTCAAAATCTGGGATGAGTCCAATTCTGCTTGTTATCCAATGTTTCTCCTCTATCTCTAGAGCTTCTGTAGATTCTAATAAAGAAGGAATAAATATAGATCGAATAGTCTCGAAATGCTTGTTTATAAAATTTAAATTTGCTTACTAATTAGATCCGATGATTTGCCCAATTTGCTAACGAAGGACAGACGTCCACCGATACGTTCAGTTATTATCTTCTCTAAGACCTCATCAGGATCATCGCCATTACGAAATTCTTTAAGTAGCTTTATCGCTTCTTTTGTTTCTAAATCATTTATCCTAATCACTTCCATGCGGGACGCGTCTCTCTCTATATAGATTAAAAAAAATGTTCGTTATTAAGCTAAAAAAATAATTGTCGATACTACATCCACATTCATCAAAACAAGTATTTTTCCGCAAAAATAAGCACGTATTACGAATACCCACTCATGCGCTCATAAACGGTATAATCGTCCGTATTAAACACCATAGTCACAATCTTTGCAGCGGCCCATGTTTCAGCTCGTTGTTGCAAAAGCTCCATTAAGTCCTCGCCTTCTTCATCTTCTTTAAACGAATGAATATTATTGATAATTAAAACCAATGGTCGACCTCGTCGTTTTTTATATTTAATTGCAACGGCTTCTACCATATTAAGAGCTTTTTCCACGTCAAGCAATGCTGAACCTGTGGAGTATATAAAGTATACGTATGTATTCCAATCAGACAGGACGATGCACATACAATGTGCCAAACATAAAAAGAAATTACAAATTTCTACCTCTCTCAGGAGCCTCTCTCGCAAATAATTGACCCACATAATCTTCTCTGTAAGTATATCTCAACGCCTTGCCTAATCTAGTTTTGAATATTTCGCTATCCGAATGAGCATCGGCAAACACAACTCCATAATGTTTTATTTTTTTCCATTGCAATAAACACCGATTGTGTTTTTCCTGTTCCCTTCTCCCCCATAAGTAAATAGTATTTCCCAGGCCTATTTCCGGCAATAATCGCATTAATCTTCTTCTGTTCCTCCCTTGCAAAATATTTTTCTTGTGTATTTGATTTCAATAGCGGAGAATGATGAGTGAATGCCAATTCAATTTTACGTACTTCGTTCCATTCGTACCTGTGTAGTGTTTAGGTACCACATTAAATTACATTTTTCGATGTAATAATAATTCAATAAACATGTTATGGATAAGTCAAATTATTGATAACTCCTACCAAGACTGATAGAATACACCTCCAAGGCCGACTGCGGCCAAACCCATCACGGTGGTTAAAACTGCATCCATCACACGAGGGGAAAGCCACACGCGCTTTTGGCTACCGCCCGAAGATTTGTTCTTTTTCTTTTTCGAGCTATCATTATCATCATCTAAGGCAGTCTCGGCGGATTTCTCTACGATAGGTTGAAACGGATCTAAAAGTTCGACAAGAGAAAGATATAGTGAATGGCCTTTATCTCAAAATTTGAGTGACACATTAGAAGAATAAATACCGGGAAATGGATCCCAGACTCCAGCTGCATTGGTATCCTGATTCAAATACCTTTTCTGCGAAATGTTACGATTCCACAAAATCGACTTAACGCCCGTTTTTTCTATATATTTTTTGGTCATCTGTTTATGCATAATAGCTATCGTATAACTACTGTTGCTACTTATATGTCGATGACCTAATCTTATTTCGAATCCCATATTTCTCGTGAATGGCGGTTCATTAAGAGCGCGCAATTTTGATTTTATGATGTTTATTCTATTGATCATACGCATCTCTAGGCCGGGAATGTGAATGAAACCGCGCGCATTTATATTTATTGCGAATGACCAAATATGGAAAAGCACCTAATTTAAATTCCCCGATAAGTAACGAATAATCGGGCTTCAAAAAAAGTTTTGTCAAGATCACATGTGTAACAGAAAATTCCGTAAAGTCATGTGCGTGCAACTCAAGTTCCGATAGAATTTCGTATTAGCGATTCGAGGTTCGATTTTCTTTATTCTCCAACTCGCATCATAAAGCTAAAATGATTTATGTATTATATTTTTTTACTCAATCAAACCTTATAAGCTGCATCGTGAACAAAATTTATTAATAAAAAGTTTTTTATATAAAAATATTACGAATATAA